GTGTGTGTGTGTGTGTGTGTGAGGGGGAACCGCTATGTAAGTCTGTGGGTCCTTCCTTGGGAGGCGTTAATTTCTCATCCCAATGGCATTGTTCGGATAGCCGTATACGTCCATTACAACTCTAACCACGCCCGTTTCTCTCGGGGGTCCTTCCTGCTGCTCTGCCCTCAAACTCCCAAACGCACACCAATACGGCACTTCACCCACCTTTCAGACATTCATAAGGAAACGGAAAAAAAATAAAAAATAGAAAGCGTCCCGTTGAGTTCGAAGCCCATTCTAACCCAGCCCATCCTGCTGCCCTGCTCGCCCTGCTGCAGGAAGTCCTACGGGGCCCTGACCCCTGCCAGCCCAACCGACAGCGCCATGACATTAGCATCTCGGTTGTCGGGTCAGCAGGCAGGGTCGAGGAGGCTAGCGTTTCAATCACCTGAATCGGCGTTTCAAATACGACAGGGGTGCATATGCCTCGCTAATTTTATGTTTTTAAGGCAGCAGGGTGGCGCGACGCGATGACTTGTACAGTGGAGCTTTGCAATACACTAACGACATCCAGAGGAGTGACATTCGGGCCAGAGTGGGGCCACCCGGCAAGGTTCAATCCTCTCCACGGCCAGGGCCAGGCGGCGTTCCCTCGTGAGTTTCACACGCACGACGACACCGCTAGGACAGAACTGTTGGTCCGCTGTCCTGCCGCCTGCCGGTCTCGCCATGGGCTCCAAAGACAACGCGGGTATTCAGTCAGTTATCCAACCGCCCGAGTGACGTCCATGTAAACGATCGTAAAGTACTTGCGCCACATGTAACAGCTAACAACTGACTGAGTCACCCTCGCCCACATTCGTTTGCCTTTCTATTGCCTCTCTAGCGCCCTGTGGCCTTTGAGTAGGCAACCCGCCCACACGCGTGCATGTTGTACAGTATAACTAAAGGGAAGCTGGGCGAATCAGCCACCACGCCAAGACACAATTTAATCATACACGAAACGAATATTATTCCAAGCATGTGTATAAGGCAGGCCAAGCAAAAAGCACAAGCGCGACCCCGGCGCAGCCCAAACCGCAATGCATTCGGCTCAATGTAACTCCTCGCCTTAGGGTTAGGAGGGGGGAGCGGCGGCCCGGGCATCGTACGACCGGCAGGCAGCCAATGGGAGGCCAGCACCGGGCCGCGTGGTGCTGTGCCGGTGAGGCGGAGCGGGGCGGGGCGGGGGCCGCGCCTCCTCGCCAGGTGAGTGCCACGCACCGCCACGCAGCGCCGCGCCACCGCGGCCCTGGCCGAGCTTGGCGTGCTGCCTGCCGCGACGCGCCGCACTCGCGAGCGCCCCCGGGCGGCATCGTCGAAAAAGTTTTAGGGTGGGAATAAAAGTCACCGAAAATCGGATCACATGGTGCGCGACCGTCTTGTCTGTGTCTGCGGGTGTCCCCGCCCCGGCCCGGCCCGTATCAGCTGACGCGGGCGGAGGTCGTCGCCTCGGCGGGGCCGGGTCAGAGTAGTATTGTGTGGTCCGCCCTCCTCTCCCGTCTGATCGGCCGGTCCGCGTATCGCAGTCACAACAAACAGCACAGCACGCAGCATCCCCGGCCCGCATGATGTCGGCACAGGCATAGGACTGCAGGCGAGAGGCGAGCAGGGCAGACTGCTCGGACCGCGACGCGCGACGCCCAGCAGCAGAGCAGCAGCACTAATTAGGACGTTAATTATAAGCGGTATGAAAAATCAAGCCGCAGCGTCAGCTGGCCCCCGCGGTCCAGACCAGAGCCGCTGGGTCAGAGACTCCTCGAGGACAACGAACTGCAGCGACGGAGAGAGAGAGGGCCGGGGGAAAGGGGGAGGGCTGAGGTCCGCAAAAACCCTCTCTCTCTCTCCACAGCTGTAGAGTAAGCAAGAAGTGCCCCGTCGCCGTCCCGTCTCATCCAACTTCCAGGCCGCGGGGTGGGCGCGGGGCACCCAGGTGCAGCCGGTGCAGCAGGAGGCACTCACTCGGGGCCG